GAGGGGGGGGGGGGGGGGGGGGGGGGGGGGGGGGGGGGGGGGGGGGGGGGGGGGGGAGGGGAGGGGGGGGGGGGGGGGGTGGGGGGGGGGGGTCTGGTGAGGGGGAACACACCTGGTGCGTCAGCCAGGGGGAGGGGTTCCCAAGGAATCGGGGCTGTCAAGCAGTGGCAAAAGAAGCGTCCCTGTCCCTGCCTCGCTCTCCCCCTCGTCCTGCCCAGCCCTTCCCCGAACAATGTCTCTTGTGTTATGTTGTCGTCATTCTCCTTTCTCCCCCATTCCCTCCCCCTCCTCCCCCCCATCCCTCCTGCAGGGGCTTTCCCAGTTGCGTCGGCTCGATGGTTGGTCGCTCTTGCTAGCGTCGGCTCGACATGTTATGTTGCCGTCGCCTCGCGGCGGGCCTCAACAGGGGGGTGGCCCAGGGCGGCGGGACCAGGGGTGAGGGTGGCTTGGAAGCTTATCATATAGCCCCACCAAACAATGTTCTAAAAACCTTTTGTGGTTCCCACGAAATGTTCTTTTAGAACACTTCTGGATGGGACTGTCTTGTTTTAACACATCGGGTTCACGTTCTAAGAACATTGTCTTTGTTCTTAGAACATGTTTGGGGTTCTGAGAACATTTCGTGGTATGACTATAGGAATGCCGGGACGGTCGGTCCCTAGTCAATTCTGAGCTGCCCCCCTTATCCCAACTCGCTCTGCGCTGCTGCAGGATGGCGGCGTGCCCGAGAGGGGGGAGCAGAGGGGGTGGTGGGCCCTCGTAGAAGGGTCGAAAGGCCCCCGGCCGCTCTCGACGAATGGGGCTGCGTGCCAGAAGATACAGTTGAGGCCCATGCCAAGAAACACCCTGCTCGCCTCCAGGGTGCCCTGGGTTGCTTGGGTTTCGATGGTTTTGCGATTGGAAGCGTGACGCTCCGACGCCAACACTCCATGGACGTCCTGGGGTCTTAGGGTTGGGTTTCCTGTGGTCGCGTCCCTACTGTATGGGTGCAGTGATATCTGCCTAATCTGGGGGGCACGCAATGGGGTGGGGGCGATGAATAAGGGGGCAGCGAGTGCTGCCGAAAAGCGGGCCTTCAGGGCCCCTAAAGGAGTCCTTTCGGGCCCAGAAGGGGCCCTTGAGAGGCTTCTTCCCCCCCCGCGTATCGCACCCTGTTATTTCGCGCCCGAGATATGGCGTAAACCGTTGTTGTATCGTTGGATTCTGGACCTGTCCTGTCGGCTGTGCAGGATGGTGCGCACGAGCGATGCTGCTACACGCGCGAGGCGGAGGCAGGCTTCAAGCGAGGGCAAACAACTGCGCCTCGCGAAGACGCTATCCAGTACTGTTGCCGCTACCGCTGCCCTTTCCTTGTTTCCGTCTTCTTGAGCGTCCTGGGAAGCCTTCGTCGACATGGCTGGATTCGCTTCGAATTCTTGGTCAGAACGCAGACCTTGAGAAGTTCAGGGGGTAGCGGTATCTGTATCTGTTGGTTTTCCCGCAGAAGGCCTCCGGCCTTCTGAGAAGCTCATTGGGCCTTCTCTTCCCCGGTAAGCCGCGGCGAAACCCGAACCTCGCCCTCGCCGATCAGCGATTCAGGCAACTCGATGGGCGGCGGGGGTAGGGCTCGGCATTCGTCGAACACGTGGTGAATTCCGAACCCTACAATCAACCCGCAAAGTGAGGGTGAGCAACGTTCCAAGGTTAACTTGGCATCCTTCCCTTTCGGCCCATCCTTGGCCGCTTTCGCGGGCCCCGCCCCCCCGCAGAGTGTCGACATGGCCTTCCAGGGCCTTTATACCCTCACTGTGCGTTGGATACGGGTTGACTGTGCCACTATCGCCCAGATCGGCGTCATCTTTCCTCGGTGGAGGCACACCGCAGATACACCCACCAGAAGTTTGAAGAAAGAGCAGGAACTGGCATGGACTCCAGATTTCGCTCACGAGAATCAAGAATCCGCAATGGACCCTGGGCGTTTTCTTGGAGCTTTTCCCCCAGCCGTCCTGTGGTGTTGGGTCCTCGTTCTGAAGAGACAGCGTCCCGTGTTCATCTTCTCGTCACTTTTTCCCGCTCCTGCCTCCCTCCATCCTTGCCTTTGCCCTCCGCATGTGCCTGTTTCGGCACACACTGCATGTCCACTTCGGCACACACCTCACACGCTTCGTGTCCACATAAGGACCCCCCAGAAGGCCCAGCGGCAGCGCCCGCATGCATCTCCATGTCGGTGCACCCCTCACACGCTTCCTAGCCCATAGGGAGCTCCACCGAGGGCCCCACTGACAGCGCCCGCATGCGGTTCCACCCCCATTTCGGCCGACCCCTCACACGCTTCGTGGCAACACAGGGAGCTTCACCGAGGGCCCCAGTGACAGCGCCCACATGCAGTTCCACCCTCCATTTCGGTGCACCCCTCAAGCTTTCTGTGATCCATTAGGGAGCTCCACCGAAGGTTCTCGTGGCAGCGCCCACATGCAAATCCACTTTCAGATCGGTGAACCCCTCACACGTTTCGTGGCCCCATAGGGAGCCCCACCGAAGGCCCCAGTGACAGCGCCCACATGCAGTTCCATTCTCCGTTTCGGCACACCCCTCACACGTTTCCTGGCCCCATAAGGAGCTCCACCGAAAGCCCTAGTGGCAGCGACCACATGCAGTTCCACCCCTATTTCGGTGCACCCATCACACGCTTCGTGGCCCCATAGGGGGCTTCACCCAAGGCCCTAGTGCCAGCACCCGCATGTGGTTCCACCCTCCATTTCGGCGAACCCCTCACACGCTTCGTGGCCCCATCGGGTGCTCCACCTCAATGACAGCGCCCGCATGCGATTCCGCCCCCCATTTCGGCGAACCTCTCACACGCTTCGTCGCCTCATAGGGTGCTCCACCGAAGGTATACTAGTGGCCCCTGTTGCTTGCCCCCCTCCTTCATTTCATATCCCTCCAGCGCCTGCATGGCGGCCCCACCATATTCCGGCACACTCTTCATTCGTTTCGAGGCCCCATGAGGAGATCCACCGAAGGAGATATTCACAACCACGGTACTCACAACCGCACATGGTTGGCACTTTCTTGCACCTGGACCTGGATTGTTGTTTATAAGAGCACGCTTCGGATGAAGTCCATTTTCTCCCGCCTCCCACCGCTTCAGTGGATTCGACGATGGTTGGGGGCAGGAGTCGGCGGCCGCCGCCTGTGAGGAGGCGGCCTCCTGGGCAGGGCCTGCCCCCTCTTGCTCGATCCTACCCGCGATCCTCCTCCTCCTCCTCCTCCTCATCCTCCTCCTCCTCCTCTCCTCCTCCTCCTCCTCCTCCTCTCCTTTCCTCCTCCTCCTCCTTCCTCCTCCTCCTCCTCCTCCTCTTTCTCCTCCTCCTCCTCCTCTCTAAATCCTCGTCCTCCTCCTCTTCCTCCTCCTCCTCCTCCTCATCATCATCATCGTCATCCTCTTCCTCCTCCTTCTCTCCCACTCCCGCTCCTCCTCCTCCTCCTCCTCCTCCTCCTCCTCCTTCTCCTCCTCTTCCTCCTCGTCCTCCTCGTCCTCCTCCTCCTCTTCCTCCTCCTTCTCCACCTTTGTCGCCCCCTCCTCCTTCTACGTCTGACCGACACTAGGAGCGAGCCGATTGCTGTAATCAAGTGATGCATGGAAACATGTAAGGTGCGACTCGGGTCAAAGAGGTACCTGGCGGGCGCCGCGGAACATGTGATAAACATTGGCGAAGCTAAGAGTAGTGCGAAGAGTAGGCGCCCGCCTGGTCTTCGAGGAAGGCACTGACCTTAGTTACCACATACCCCAGGTAGTTAAGCATAATCACCCGTTGAATCTAAAGGTAGTCCTCGGGTGACAAGGACCCGTACAACATGCAAGGAGCTGTGCCGAACAGCAAGTAAGTGAAGTGACGTATTTCAGCAGATCCGCCCCCTCCCGGCCCTTCATACGCGCCCCCTCCTGTCCATAGAATATGTGCCATCTTGGCCGCCTGCAGAAAGTAAAACATATCACCGTGAGAGGCACATCAAATAGCGAGGTGCAGTGCGTAAAGTGCGCGGGAACGAGAAGCAGTCCTAGGGCTGCTACCCAGGGTGGTACAGGTCAACCTCAAACCTACCAGATAAGAAGTAGCACTGACGTGTCAAAGAAGAGCCGCGAGGGAGACGGAGGCGTAGGGTATTGCGATCTTTAGCTTAGGCTGGCCTGTGTGCGGAGGCTGGCCTGCTGCAAAGCCTTTTGACTAGTGAGGCTTGCCTGAATGTAATTCCGAGCGGCTGGCCATTTGGGACTGCAAAGGAGTGTCGCTGCAGCGACAAAGTAGGGCATACGCCTGGCGCCCTGTCGTGTGCAGGGTAACCTGCATCAGGCTTCCTCCAAGTATCTATTGGCTATGACTCGGGTGTTGCTAGAAGTGCCCCTGGCCCAAGGTGGCCCCAGCTTTTCGCTTCATTTTGGGGCCCCTGGGGTCCTCTGGGCCTCGTGAGGGGTGCCCTGGAGGCCGCCTGGGCCACCCCGAGAATCCTGGGGGTACTTTGGGCCAGGGGTACTTCTAGCAACACCCGAATGACCTGCGAACGGTAGTGTGCTAGCGGTCAGTGTCAGAGCTGCCAGAGAGTGCGGAGCAGACGTACTCGACAGACCACAGCAGGTGGCAAAATGCCTCCACTGTCGAGGTGCGTGTCGCTCTCCGCTCGGAGCGGGTGGCAGCTGTGACTGAGCGTAGCACGTGAGAGTATCTCCCAACCTCCCCCTCCTCCTCCTCCTCCGTCCTCCCCCGTCCTCCTCCTCCTCCTCCTCTCCCTCCTCCTCCTCCTCCTCCTCCTCCTCCTCTCCTCCTCCTCCCTCCTCCTCCTCCTCTCCGCCTCCTCCTCCCTCCTCCTCCAACTACTCCTCCTCCTCCCTCCTCCATCCTCCTCCCTCCTCCCTCCTCACTCCTCCTCCGTCCTCCGTCCCTCCTCCTCCTCCTCCCTCCTCCTCCTCCTCTCGCTCTCCCCGCCGCTCGCCTTCGCCGGCGGCCAGGAGGGAGCCCTCGCGCCGCGGCGCCGCTGCCGCCAGCTCGCGGGCGGCGGGGCCGCCGCGCAGGGGCTCCGCGGGCGGCAACAGCCCAAGCCTCTGGGAAGCCCAAGCCCTCCCTCCCTTCCCCCTCCTCTCCGCACCTCCTCCATCTCCTCCTCCTCGTCCCTCCTCTCCTCCCTCCTCCCTCCTCTCCTCCCTCGTCCCTCCTCTCCTCCCTCCTCTCCATCGGTCGTTGAAAGCAGGGGCTCCGCGGGCGGTAACAGCCCAAGCCTCTGGGAAGCCCAAACCCAGTTTTAGATCGGGCGTGTCCCCCTACAGGGGGATTTTCGACGAAACATAAAACATTCCCCCAATATGCTCCAAAGAGGTAAAACATGCTAAAAAGATAGTCCCCAGGCTATTGTTGGACTATTGTTTGACAATTTGGGGGGTATTTCTTTTTTTCGTCGAAGCTCCCCCTGTAGGGAGGGGGACAGGCCCGACTTAAACCCAGTTACCCATCGGTCATTGAAAGTAGGTATTCTTGGATTCCCAGATTCCAATCTACTTTAAGCGTCTTCCTGCTTAAGTGATCGAGTGGCCTCACCTTTTGCGTGCTCTTTCGGGGGCGGGCGGACACCCAATCTACGTTCAACGCCTTCCTACTTTATGTTTTTACCTACTTCTTCCGACTGATGGGTAGTGAGTGGGCCCGGAAATCCTTCCAAATTGGCCAGAATCACTAAGCCAGGTCTGCCGTAATGTGTGTGTGCGCGCGTGTGTGTGTGTGTGTGTGTCGCCGGGTGGTGGCATTTCCTGCCAGTGTGTTAGTGGAATGGGGCGGGGGAGGCGTCCCCAGACACGCAACACGAAACCGGGTCCCACTAAGCCAGTCCTGCCGACGCGCGAGGGGGGCTATCGCTGCGACTGGCCTCACCTCCTCTCGCTGCCGACCTGGAGGGGTCTCTCAGCTCCTGTGGGCGCGTCCCTGAGACGGTCAGCGCCCTTGGGCTGGTCAATGTAAGACCGCAGGAGCAGGGACAAGCTCGAGGCTGGTCAGCTCGGGTAGTGCAGAGGCCGTCTCCCGCAGCCGTGCCTCGCCCGGCGCTTCGAGGCGCCGTGGGGTTGCCCGGCAGGGCGGCCTTCCCCAGCCTCGGGGCCGTGGCCAGGCGACAGGGCTCCCCGAGGGCGACGGTCGGTGGCGCGGGCGGCGCCACCTCACAAGGAGGACGTCGGCCGCACTCGGCCCGCCTCCCTGGCACACCTCCCGATTTTATAAGTGAGCCACGGAAGGGCACGGGGCCGATTGCGCCGACACTCGCGCGTACTTCTCTGTACGCACGTATGTGTACCATTGGCCCGCGTAAGGCAGCGCGTGAGCGCCTTCCTTCCCCACGCGGGGAGCCACGCCGGCGGCCCGGAGAAGCCGCGGCGCAAGGTCATCATGCCTTCGTGCGTATAGGCCCCTCTTCTTGTGTCGCTCACCTGGCCCTCCTCCCTGGTACGCCCCCCAGGGAGGGGGAGGAGGAGGAGGAGGAGGAGGAAGGAGAGGAGGAGAGGAGGAGGAGGAGGAGGAGGAGGAGGAGGAGGGAGGAGGAGGAGGAGGAGGATGGAGGAGAGGAGGAGGAGGAGGAGGAGGAGGAGGAGGAGGAGAGAGGAGGTAGGAGGAGAGGAGGGAGGAGGAGGAGGAGGAGGAGGAGGAGGAGGAGGGGAGGAGGAGGAGGAGGAGGAGGAGGAGGAGGAGGAGGAGGAGGAGGAGGAGGAGGAGGCCACCCTGCCGTTTGGCTTCCCCCTCTCCTTCCCCTTCCCGCCCGAGGGTAGAGGGCCTCTGCCACGTGGTGATGCAGCTGCACGGGAGGCTCCGCGCAGAGGCGCGGCGCGCGGAGGAGCTGGAGGCGCAGCGGCTGCTGCTGCTGGGGCGGCTCGAGGGCGCGGCGCGCGCGGCGCACGGCGCCCGGGGCCCCGAGGGGCCGCCGACCCAGTACGAGCTGTTCGTGTTGGAGCGGCCAGCCCTGCTTGACATGAGGCATCGGAGGCAAAATCCTCCTCCCTCCTCTCCTCCTCTCTCCTCCTCCTCTTTCTCCTCCTCCTCCTTCTCCTCTCCCTCCTCCTCCTTCCTCCCGCTTTGCTCTTCTTTCTCCTCCTCCTCCTTCTCCCCCTCCTCTCTCCTCTTTCCTCCTCCCTCCTCCTCTCCTCCTCCTCCTCCTCCTCCTCTCTCCTCCTCCTCCTCCTCCTCCTCCTCCTCCCCCGCACACCAAGAACGATCCTGGCCGGCCCATCTTGCCAAGAGCGTTCCTGGCTTGCGCACGGCTAGCCAAGCCAGGAGGGCGTGCACACCAGACCTGGGCTCAGCATGGGCCTGCTCAGCTTCGCGTTTTTGAGTGCTGCAGCGCGGGCGTGACACGAGTAGGGGGCCACATGCGAACCATACCCCTACCCCCCACGATTTCTGAGGGGGAGGGTGGGGTTCACTTCGCTCGGGAGCTCTCGAGCGGGGAGAACCCCACCCTCCCCCTCAGAAATCGTGGGGGGTAGGGGTAGGGTTCGCATGTGCCCCCCCTAGCGAGGGACGGGCCTGCAAGCAGGCGGCCCAGGAAAGGCTCACCTCCCCCAAGAGGCCCCCAGCCACCTGCAGACGCCCCGAGGCACCCTGGGAAGGCAGAAGATGGGGGGCTCGGCGCGCCCAGGCGGGAACGCAGAAGGGGCGGGCCTTCCCATCACCAGCCTTATGTCGGGCGTGTCCCCCTACAGGGGGATTTTCAGCGAAAATGTTTCAAAAAAAGCTACAAAAATACCCCCAAAAGGTCAACGAGTACCCAAAACATAGTCCCTGTATTATTTTCGGACTATTGTTTTAAATATTTTGGGGGTATGTTTTATTTTTCGTCGAAAATCCCCCTGTAGGGGGACAGGCCTTCCCATCACCAGCCTTGCGAGCAGCTGTCAGAGCATGCTCCCAGGGCGCAGGGCGCCTCTCAGAAAGGCCGGGTGCCTTCCGAGAAGCCTCGCCGCCTCCCGAGAAGGCCCGACTCCTCTGGCTCCCCCCTCCGGCGCGCAGCCGGAGGGCGGCTGTGCCCCCGGGCTCACAGACGCCTCGAGGCACCCCAGGAAGGCTGCAGATGGAAGACGGCCGTGGCCCCGGATCTGCCATCGCGTGTTTCCGCCCTCGAGGTGGCTTCGCATCACGCCCGCTGCTGCCAAGAACTGGCCGCGAGGATGAGCCTCTGGCGAAAGGCTCCGACATCCTTCGTTTCTGGGCCTGCCTTTCATGCTTGCTGCTTCCTGGGTCCGAGGGTAGCCCTGATCGTCGATCGTCGTGGCGCGCTCCAGGTGCCTTGTATCCCTGTGATCCGTCCTCATGGTTGGTCTTGGCTGCAGCAGGGCTTCTTCGATAGCTAGGCTTCTCATTGCAAGTGTCCTGGGCTCAGGATGGAGACAGCCAGGATCGGCGCTGGGGCAATCATTCGGTACGTGGCATGCGCAGGAGATGAGTCCAGCCTCCCAGCAGGCGCTCCACTGAAGGCTCCTGCCCCCCGAAGGCCCCGGGGGACCCACATCCGCCTCGAGGCGCCCCAGAAAAGGCTGAAAGAGGAGGACGGGTGAGGCCCTGGATGTCTTACCGCATGCGCCTGCCATCGAGTTGGCTTTGCACCGCAGCCGGTACAGCCCAAAACATGGCCTCAGGGAGGCGCCTGTTGCGCAAGAGGCCCTGGCATCCTGCGCTTCTCTGGGCCTGCCCGTCATGCCACCTGCTTCCTCCCGGCCCCACGGGCCGCCCTTGCCGGCGCGGCGCGCTCCAGGCAGCCTGCATCCCCTATACTCGGCGGTGGGCGAGGGGGGGAGCTGAGAAGGAGAGGACCTCCTCGGAATGCCGAGGCACCCCTCAGAAGCCCTCGCGCCTTCGAGATGTCTGTTCTGTGTCTTCGGGGAAGGCCTGGAGGACTTCTCAGACCGCCGAGGGACGCCCGAGCCCTCCGAGAAGGCCCGCCCCCCTTCCCACTTTCCCCCCGGCCTCGCCGCCGATGCGCCCCGACCTCGCGACTGGCCCCGACTGCGGCAAGGCTTCTTCGGTAATGGAGGATGACGATTAATAAATGACCGGGGGTCGTGTTCACGCAGCGGCGCCCGGGGTGACGATTAGAAAAAACTGGCCGCGTGCTGGAAAACTATTGTTTTAATCGTTCTCCTCCAGTCAGAAGCTTGTGCAGAAACAGCAGAAAACTATTTGTTAAATCGTTCTTTCCCATTTGTTTTGATAATCGTCATCCCGCATTAGCAATGGCTGCTTCGACCGCGAGGCTCCCTTGACAGCGAGGCTTCTCGCCCCCGAGGGGTGGCCCCGTGGGGGCCGCGCCCATGGCCCCTGCAGCGCTGCGCGGGGCCCGCGGCGGGCGGGCTGCGCCCTCCACCCCCCTGGGCTCTGTCGCGCCGTCCGTGGGAAAAAATACAGAAGAAAAACAGTGTGTGTGTGTGTTTTTGTGTGTGTGTGGTTTTTGTTCGTCTTTGTGGTTTTTTTTCCCCACTCTGTGTGTGTGTGTGTGTTTTTTGTGTGTGTGTGTGTGTTTTCCCACAGCGTCGTCTCTGAGCCTGTTCCTGTTTCGGGTCTGGGCGACGGCGGCCGGGATCGGCCCGTGGCCTCCCCCCGAGCACGGCACCGCCAGGCGGCCGACATCTGCGGAGAGATCTCTCTCGCGGGCTCCTCGGGGATGTCTTCTGCGGCTTTCTGGCGGTCCCCTGCCGTGATGTGCTCGGGGCGGGGGGACTCCCCCCCCCCTCTTTCCCCCGATCACGCCTGCTATCGTGAGTCATAAGCAACATCGCAGGCCTAGAGGTTGACACCAACACCAATTTCCGCGCAGTGGAGTGCCTCCACCGAGGGAAGGAGATCCCGTTCTCGGCGATGCTGGTAATATTCTGGCTTCCGAGGTGGCCAAAGTATTACCACCAACACCGAAATCTAGGATCATCTTCCCCCTGCGGAGGTAGCCCCCTGTGTTGGTGTTGGTGCCCCTTTCCAGGCCTCCGACAGCAGGCTCTTTCCCCTTGCTCTTGCCACAGGGCCCCCTCTCGGCTGATAAGAGAGAAGTGCCCCCATGTCTCGGGCCGGGCGAAAGGGGGGGATTGGGAAAGGGGGGGTTACGACATTTGCTGCATGCAGCTGGTTTCGGCCTCACCGAGGGGCCCATTCCTCGATACATGGCCGCTACGTCAGCTGATTCTCACCCCCCCCCTTTGCTATCCCCCCCTTTCGCCAGACCCGAACGTCCCCCTGGCGCCCCACGGGAGGCACCTGGCCGCGCTGGAGGCGGCCGCGCACGCCGCCGAGGAGCGCCGCCGCGAGGAGCTGTTCTGGCAGTGGATGGCCGACGTGCTCCGCGCGGCCGAGCCCGCGCCGGGGCCGGCCGGGGCTGCCGCGGGGGCCGCTGGGCGTGTCGCAAGGGCGCGGGGCGTGGCCTTGGCATCGCTCGGACGTGTGCATTTTGCCTTCGGCGAGGACCATCGAGGAGCATCCTTGATTATTTGGCGGAAAAAACCACGCACGAAACCGAAAAAAGCACAGGGAATGGACGTCCGAGCGATGGCCAGTGGCGGGGGGCGACGACCCCAGGATGTGCGACGACCTGCCTGCTTGTCTCGGAAGCTGGGCGCGTGTTTTCATGGTCGACGTCGGGCACCCGGGCCAATGCTTTTGGCCCTCCGCAGGACCGTCAGGAACGGATCCGGGACGCAGCACTACAGTCAACGCGCCCAGTAAGGACGCGCGCCTTCATCTGGGGTGCCCTTGTGTCCTTGCCTCTGAGGCCCGTCCTTGCCATCATCACTGGTCGCCCGCCACCCTAAAAAAAAAGCAACTTCGGCCTCCGAGGGTCTTGCGTCCTTATCACCCGTCCTTAATACGCGTTTTGACTGGATTCCCCCGAGGAAGCAGTCGGGACCTCTTTGGGGCCGCAGACCGAAACAATCAGATCGGAGGATGTCGAGGAATGCGGGGGAGGGCGAGGGCTGCAGGAAAGGGGCCCCAATGGGCCCCCCCGGGTGCACATAAGGTGCACGAAAGGTGCACTTTTCCTCCTCCTCCTCTTCCTCCTCCTCCACCTCCTCTCCTCCCTCCTCCTCCTCCTACTCCTCCCATCCTCCTCCTCCTCCTCATGTCCTCCTCCCCCTCTTCCTCCTCCTCCTCCTCCTCCTCATTCCTCCTCCTCCTCCTCCTCCTCCTCCTCCTCCTCCTCCTCCTCCTCTCCCGAGGCAGCACCCGAGGCAGCACCCGAGGCTGCCGGCGGCGCCGTTTGGGCCGCGGCCCCGGGGGAGGCGGCACGCCAACGACGAGAAACCAGCCTGTCAGCAGGGTGCCTCGCGGAGATGTCGTATCTCCCCGTGGTCTACAGGGGGTCCCAGGCGCCCTCGCCTTGGGGAGTTCGAGCGACTGTGTGCGAGGGGCGACGGCGCGCGTGCCCGCCGACGTCTCACGACACGTGTCCTCATCAGGTGCACCTGCCGTGCCCTTGCCTTGTGGTCTCCTGTTCCCGAACTCCTGGGGAAGTCTCGTCGCAACGGCTGGGATCGCGTAGGCATCCCACTCAGACTTCGTCCTGGTTGAGGTCCGGGGTGTCGCGGTATCGGTATGTTTTCCATCCCCTAGGCTCGGGGATCTCTCCCCGGCGGCTGCGACACAGAGATCGATGGCGCGGGCTTGCAGGAGCAGACCGAGGGAGGCCAGACGCAATTAGCCCCAAACAGGCGTAGCTCGGAGCAGGGCCCTCGGGATCCACCTTGGGACACCGATGGGCCAGGTGTTGGCGCATCCCTGCGAGGTCTGAATTCAGGAGGGGAAAAACACACAGACACAATTAATCGTCGATTCCCCAGAAAATATGGGAAAATATGGGAAGTGGGGGGGAAGACAAAAACCCAGAAAATATGGGAAAATATGGAGCATATTTTTATGTGCGTGTGTGTATGTATTTTTGTGTCCTGGGGCCCCTTCATGAATGCACGTCGCCCTGGGGGGGGGCTACTGACCGCTGACCCCTCCCAAATAAAAAGGAGGCGTCGAACAGTGCAGGGACAGGGCTCCCTGCTGGTGGATCATCTATCTTGGCTCGCGTATCCCCCTTGATTAGTATCGTTCCACTCTTCGTTGATCCGAGGGCCCCGCTTTCGGCGAGACTAGCGGAGCGACGCACGAAAGCGTAAGCCGCTCGCTCAAGACCACGCTTGAGCGCCCTCGTTCCCATGAGGTGCCCCGCGCTGGAGGCAAGTGTAAGTTGCCGTGCAAGGTTGTGGAAGTCGATTAATGGAGAGGAGGCGTGCTGCCAAACCATTTCCAGATGCCTAAACAATGTCTTAAACATGCCTTAAACATGTTTTAAACATGTTTGAAACATTATTGGAACATTTTCCTACCTTTTAAACACATTCAAAATTCAATGATAGGACTGTTAGGGTGTCCATGGTCGTGGCATCCACACGCGTAAGGCCGCCGTCTCCCCGGTCGACGGACACCGTTCTTCACCCCGTTGGCAAGCTCCCTGGAGGAGTTCCAGGAGTCGCTGGGGCCGCTGCAGCGTGCTCTCGAGGCCGGCTTCCTTGGCGGCGACCCCGATTGGAGCTGGCTGCAGGACGCCCCGCAGGGGGGATTGGGAGCTCCAGCGTGTCCTCGGCGCCGCGGCGCTGGGTGTACTGGTTGGACGAGAAGTCAGAGTTACCCCTCGGCCGTTTTCCCCCTTTTGGGCCTCATGTGGGAGGCCCTCGTCACCACCGCTGTATTCGCCTCGAAATTCTGGTCAGAACGCACCCCGGGAGAGGTCCAGGGGGTAACCCTACGGGTACCTTTCGCTTCCCCCAAGAAGGGGCCCGGCGGACGGGGGGCCCTCGAACGGGTCTCGGGCTTCCGGGGGCCCTTGCGGGGCACTGGGGCACGTCACAAGACGACGCTGGGCGACCAACTGGCCCTGGGGAACGCCCTGAATTGCAGGAGCTGTTACCACCAGTGCCGCAGACACGTCTTCGCCTGGGAGTGCCTGAAAGGAAGCCCAGAGTATGTGCGATGTCTAACCCATGTGGTAATCTCGCAGCTCACACTTTCAATCAATATCCAGCTGCACTGCCCGCGGCAATCTCTGCTACCGTGCTAACGCAACACCGAAGTGCATGACTGTATCGATCTCTCCCGACGGAGCTCAGTAGAAACGTCCTGGTACCGTGTGAGAAGTTGCGATGCGATGCTGTGGTGTGTTGTGGCTCTAATCGGAGATATGTTGCAAGTCTCGTCTGTGCTGCGGTGCAACCTTTGGAGGGCCCTTGAGGCCCTCGCGGGGGCCTCTTAGTGGCTTGCGGGGTGCTTCTGAAGGGCTATGGGCTATTGGGAGACTCCGGGCCATCTCGGGGCAGGATCCTTCGGCCGAGCTCTCCCGACGATCCTCGGTGGAACAGCATTGGGACCGTCAGGTCGGGTCGTGTGGCCGTGTGGGAGCCTTCTCTGGGCTGTCTTGGGCCGTCTTGGATTCTTGTTGGACCTTCGCGGTGCTCTCGTGGGGCGGTCTCTAATGGTGGCCTCGGGAGCCTCATGGAGCCTCTCGGGGCCCATCTGGGGACGGACTCTCTCGGGCCTCCTTGGCGAGGATAGGGGAGAGGACGAGGGCGACGATGAGAGCAAGCGGGAGGGTGAGGACGAGTCCGTCCCTGCGCGGGGGGTGTCCAGAGAACGGGAGCCTCACTCCGGGAGCCGTCGACAGGGAGAGAGGGCAGCCCTGGCACGCCGGCGTGAGGGGAGCCCGTGGGCGCGCTGCTCCTGCGCTGTGGTCCGAAGGTCTGGGGTCCCTTCGGCAGCAGCCCGCGGATGGGTCCCCTTCGGCGGCGTGTCGTTGAGATGGGCACTGGCCGCAGCTTCGATCGATCTCAGCCACACTGGGGGTGCTGTGGCGGGCGGTCTGGGGGGAATGCGCCGATTTCGGCCAGATTTGGGGGACCCGGATGAGGCCCCCGAACCCCCGTGTTCCGCGCTCCCCCCGCTCTGCGAACATCGCCGACGTCGAGAAATTATGCTTGCGCAGCGATGTTCTGGCTCCCCATGCTATGAGGAACGTGCCCGACAGATAATTTCAGATGGGACTCTCGCCATGTCGGAGGTCCCCGTGGGTGCTGTGCTGAAGGTGTTTTTGTCCCCGAACACTGCCTGCAATGTGGGGTCTTACTAGCGCTCTGACTCCGGAAATCGGTACAAGCGGCCGTCTCGTCTGGTGCCCCGCTGGTGAGCGCCTCGCGCGCGGGTGTGCCGAGGCTGCGCTCGGTGCCCGCCCTTTGAGAGCGCCTCGTGGGCGCTCCGCCTGTGGCCGCTGGGTGGGCGCCTCGCGGGCGCCCCCGTGCGGGTGGGCGGCTGTGCCGCCCTTCGCCAGGTGGGCGCCCCGCGGGCGCCTCGTGGGCGCCCCGTGCGCTGGGTGGGTGCGACGAGGTCTCGTCTGGTGCCCACCCGTGGGCGCCTCGTGGGCGCCACGCGCGCTGTGTGGCCAAGCAGACTGCACTGCGCAGCTCTTGGCACACAGCTTGGACCGCATGGCCTGCACCACGCAGCCTGCATCACAGATCTTGCGCCGCACGGCCTACACACACACACACACCTCACACCACAAGTGTATTGCACCGGCCAGCTTGCGCCACAGAGCTTGCACCACGTAGCTTGCGCCGCAAAACTTGGACCTCGTAGCTTACACCACGCAGCTTGCACAGCAAAGCGTAAGTATTCACAGTGCAGTAACTTACGGTTTGGGGCCCTCCCTGGCAAACAGCATGTTTCATGGTTTTGCATTGTTGGAGGCAAGTGAGGCTTCTGGGATGTATTCGGTCATCTTGGATCAGTTTCGGAGCACATTGCAGCTGTATCAGACCTTGGGGACTGCCTTAACCGACTTGAGGGTGTTTGTGCCGGCGACGGGTTCCAGAGAGCAACGTCAGATGGCGATCTGATACACGGGTTTGTTGTGAATAGGGGGGTCGTCGCCCATCGAAAAAACAGCTCGCGACCGCCCCCCCCCGCACCAGACAACTACAACGGGCCGCACCAACGTGCTAAGCGCACGGTGGCGGATTGAAGCGTGGAGGGGCACCTCTGTTTTATGATTGGCTGCGCTCTGGGAGCCTCGTCCGCAGAAGACGTCCGCACACCACCCCCATGCCTGGCCAGGGCCACGACGGGCCCCAGGATGGTGTGCAAACCCTCGTGCCCTTGGCTGGGAGGGTGTCGTGCAGGGGCCCAGCATGGCTCTTGCAGTGCGTGGCAGTGGTTTGCAGGTGCCTGCTGTCTAACCTGTGCCCTGTTTCCAGGCCCCCCGCACGGGGCTGTGGCTCTGGTTTTTCTGTTGGCTCGCCCGCCGGGCCCGCAGGATCAGTACGAGGCGGCCCGCAGCGCGGACGCGAGCTTCCAGGACATGGCTGCCGGCAGAGCGGCCTTGCTGTCCGCCTGCGTGTTCGTTGATTGTCCTCTTGGTCGCCTGGGGAGGGCCCTCTTCCCTTGTCGAATCAAGTTCGGCGGGACTCCAGCCATCGAGCCACATGCGCCTTGCATCAGACATTGCGTGAGTTGGGAATTTGTTCAGCACACAGACAGAAACCCACACACGCACACGCGCATACACGCACACACACACACACAAACACGCACACACGCACAACACACACACCCACACACACACGCACACACACACACACACACATACACACACGCACACGCACGCACGCACGCACGCGCACACGCACACGCACGCACGCACGCACGCACGCACGCACGCACGCACGCACGCACGCACGCACGCACGCACGCACGCACACACACACACACGACGCACACACACACAAACACCACACACACACACACACACACACACACACACACACTACAAACCACAACACACACACCACACACACACACACCACACACACACACACTCACACACACACACACACACACCACACACACAGCACACACACATCTCACACACACACAACACTCACACGCACAGCCCCACTCCCGACCCCCCCCCCCCCACAACGAACAAACGCAACACGCCACACGCACAAACGCACAAACGCATCAAAACTCACAAACGTCACACGCAACACGGCCCGCAACAACTGCACACGCACACGCACACGCACAGCACACACAGGCGACGAGTGCGCGACCGCGGGCGGGGATCGGGCCCCGAGGATGAGGAGCCGCCCGAGGAGGGACTGCCCAGCGACCGATAAACAAACCGAGTGGAGTACGGACAGCGGCCGCCCTCACTACCCGGGACCCCGCGCCTCGCTCCCGCCAAGGCCTCCCGCCTCGAAATCCCACCCCGCCCCCGCAGCCGCCCGCCCCCAGAGGCTCCCGCGCAGGCACACCTTGGCGCGCTGTGTCGACCACATGGTGTTTGGGTTGGCCGCTTGCGCGGCGCCTCTATCCTCCTCTCCTCTCCCTCTTCCTCCTCCTTCTCTCGCCTCCTCCTCCTCCTCCTCCTCCTCCTCGTCCTCCTCACTCCTCCTTCCTCCTCCTCCTCCTCCTCCTCCTCCTCCTCCTTCCTCCTCCTCCTACCTCCTCTCTCACTCCTCCTCCTCCTTACCTCTCCTCCTCCTCTCTCCTGCCTCCTCTCCTCCTCCTCCTCCTCCTCCTCCTCCTCCTCCTCCGTCCTCCTCCTCCTCCTCCTCCTCCTCCTCCTCCTCCTCCTCTCTCCTCCCCCGCGTGCCGCCCGCCCCAGAGGCTCCGCGCAAGCACACCTTGGCGCGCCGTGTCGACCACATGGTGTGGCCGCGTGCGCGGCGCCCTCTACCGCCGCCCGCTGCGCGGCGCGCCGGGCGCGCGCGTGAGGCTCGGCGGCGCGTGGCGGGACCACGAGCGGCGCCGACGGCGTGATCGCATCCTGCGCGGCCACGACCCGTACACAAAACGTGAACTTGGGAGACAGGGGGCCGACGTGCCGCCACAGCGTGTGGAGACCTGAGGAGAGAGCGAAGCTGGCTGTGCAGCCAGCAGCGTGTTAATTGCAGCGAGCCGCGCGCTGGGCTTTGTGCGTGCTGCGAGACCCTGTGGTGCCGCGGCGTGTGGTGCCCTGAGGTGGGTGCTGCTTGCAGCGTAGCTTGCCGCGTGTGCCGTTTGCAGCAGCTTGCAGCGAGCGGCGCACTGAGCACTGTGCATGTAGCGGTGCCTTGTGGTGTGAGCTGCAGTGCGCAGTGTCCTGGTGTGTACAGCACTGGACGTGTGGCGTGCGGTGCACAGAGGAGCAGCGCAGTGTGTGCTGCGAGCGGTTCGAGGCGGGGTGCGGGCGCCCCTTGGGTGAAAGGGAGCAGAGGGAACACATACACACGCAGACACAACCACACACACACACACACACACACACACACACACACACACACACACACACACACACACACACACACACACACACACACACACACACACACACACACACACACGTACACACACACACACACGTACACACACGTACACACGTACACGTACACACACACACACGTACACACACACACGCGCCCACACATCTCTAGTTTCACGCAATCAGGCAGACTGTCGTCAGCCCCCATGTATGCCTCCACCGCCTCTTCTGTCTTGTCCGAAGGCCTGGAGTCTCCTCAGCAGCAGCACGGCGGTGGGTTCACCGCGGCGGTGTGCCGTCGACGCTCCCTGTGCCCGCCCAGCCGCTGTGGCCCCCTTGGCCGGCCCCGGGCAGGACGACTTCCTGGCCTTCCTCCGGCGGCACTGGGAGGGCCGCAAGCAGCGCCTGCCCCCAGAGGCCCAGCGGTCCCTGAAGGTCGGGCGTTGCGTAATGGGGGGGGGGACATTGGGGGGGGGGGTGAAGAAGGGAGCACCTTTCGTGCACCTTGGGAGCCCTGAAGGGGCCCTCTGGGACCCCAAAGGGGCACGACAGGTTCACGTTCCGTCGCGCCCCCTCCCCCACACCCGCCATGCACAGTGGGGGCGTTATTTCTGGAATGTGCCCAGAAAGCTTCAGGACCTGAGGGCTTACTTGTCTGATGAGGGCGGCAGTGATATCCATGGCCAGGTCTCAGTGGGTGTCCAACCAGCTTCCAGACCTTGGACTCCTTATCTAATAGTTTATTATCCAATGCCCCCACCGCTGTCAGCAGGTGTTTCACCACGTCCTTTCTTCTCCACTCGGCGTCCTTGCGGCGCGTCGGGAGGCATGGTGCGACCGTGGCGTTGCAGCAAGCCCCTCCGGTCTTCACCCCAATCCATCTTCACCTCCGGTCGACTGCCAAATCTCCTTATTACCATCGCCATCGCCAATGCCCTCACCGTATCCAAAGCCAGTTCTTCCCTGACCCCAAAAAGCCTTTTTCTTCCCCCCCGCTGTTTTCCGGCGGGGAATCAATTTCGTCCCTTCTCCTCCGCCTGCTCCTCCTCCCCCTCCTCCTCCTCTTCCTCCTCCTCCTCTTCCTCCTCTTCCTCCTCCTCCTCCTCCTCCTCCTCCTCTTCCTCCTTCTCCTTCTCTTCCTCGTTGTCGTTGTTGCCGCGGCGAGTGCCTCGGATAAACAGCTGTGTTCCACTACTGGTGGGGCCCCTGTCCGTCAGTAAGGGCGCCGAGCAGATCATTCGTTTCCACTATTGGAGGGGGGTTCTAAGGTCCCTGTTCGGTGGCCCGCTGCCCTCACCGCGTGGGCCCCGCTCGGACGTGCACCGCAACCGCCCACGCCCTCGACCAGAAGCAGAGGCCACGACACCGCCCCCTCCCGCTGGCGCGGGTAGTATTTGCCCCTCGCCCCCGAGTGAGGAGGACGAGGGTCCCTTCTTGAACGAGGAGGGGGAGGAGGAGGAGGAGGAGGAGGAGGAGGAGGAGGAGGAGGAGGAGGAGGAGGAGGAGGAGGAGTGGAAGAAGGAGGAGGAGGAGGAGGAGGAGGAGGAGGGGGATTCCTTGTCCAATTGCTTCTCCTCCAGCGCCCTCACCGCACCGCCCCACCACTAATGGAGGATGACGATTAATAAATGACCAGGGGTCGTGTTCACGCGGCGGCGCCCGGGATGACGATTAGAAAAAACCGGCCGCGGGCTGGAAAGCTATCTTTTCAATCGTTCTCCTCCGGTCAGAAAACTGTGCAGAAACAACAAAAAACTATGCTCTTAGCCGTTCCCTCCCATTTCTTGAATTAATCGCCATCCCGCACTGCGCCACACGCCCGGGCAGGGCCGGCTCCGCGCGGCCGGCGCCGCGCTCGACGGCGCGCTGCCCTCGCCCTGGCTGGCGGACGCCTGGCGCGCCGCCGCGGCGCCCGCCGAGCCCGCGGCGGCCGGCGCGGGCCTGCGCGCGCCCGCGGGCGGCCCGGGCGCCGCGGCGGCGGCGCCGAGGCCGCAGCGGCCCCGCGCGGAGGGCGCGGCGCAGTCCGAGGCGGGGACTTTTCGGGGGCGCGCAGAGGGGGCTAGGGGGAGGGGGGAAGGCTTCTTAGAAGCACCCCTGCTTCTTAGAAGGCGCGGGCCTTCTCTACAAATGTTCTTCGAGCAGTTCTGGCCGGGACCGTCTTGGCTTAACACATCGCGCTCGTGTTCTAGGAGCATGGTCTTTAATCGTAGAACAGTGTTGGGTTCCAAGAACATGTCGTGGTAGGCTTACAGGACTGCCGGGACGGTCTGTCCCTGATCAAATTCACCCATCTCTGGGCGCAGCAGAGAGCCACAACCACAACCGAGCTGATTTGTCTTGAGGGTGGTGATTCGCGTGTGTGTGGGGCGCGCAGAGGGGGCTAGGGGGAGGGGGGCAGGCTTCTCAGAGGCACCCCTGCTCCTTCTTTTTTTACAAATGTAAGGCCGGCGCCTGCTAAGAAGCAGCCTCCTGCTAAGAAGCCTTCCCCCCTCCCCCTAGCCCCCTCTGCGCGCCGCCAAGATTCAGCGAGCAAGGGCGAAGCGTCCCGGCTCGCCTATGGGCCCATCCAAGAATGTTAGAAAGATCGGGGGCAGAAAAGAGGGGGGTGATGACTAGGCGGGGTGGATATCATGGCGGGGGCCATGATATTTCCCCAGATTTCATGGCGCCTCTTCTTGTTTCATTACGTCCCAGGCCCCCCCGTCGGTCATGATTTGCACCCCGATCTCTTGGACACCCCCCTCTTGGCCGCTCCCGAAAGAATGTTATAAAGACCTTGTGTGGTCTGCACAAAAGGTTCTTCGAGCAGTTCTGGCCGGGACCGCCTTGGCTTAACACATCGCGCTCGCGTTCTAGGAGCATGGTCTTTAATCGTAGAACAGTGTTGGGTTCCAAAAACATGTCGTGGTAGGCTTACAGGACTGCCGGGACGGTCTGTCCCTGATCAAATTCACCCATCTCTGGGCGCAGCAGAGAGCCACAACCATAACCGAGCTGATTTGTCTTGAGGGTGGTGATTCGGGAGAAACCCGCCGACCTAAAACAGGGGCAGTCGATTTGGCCGTGCCGGGATTTCACATCGACCGCGACCAGTGCTAAGCTGTTTTCGGTGTGCTAGCGATTGTTGGCATGCACAAGACATCCCCCAGGGTGTGTCCTCGATGTCGTTGTGGTCGTTTGCTGTCCCCACACCATTACCACCGCCTGGGGTATCGATCTTCGGGGACCTCGGCAGGCGGTGGACCTGGAGTTTGCAGGCCTCCCAGGGGCCCAGGTGGGGTCCGAGATGGTGTCGGGGGATCGTGCCGCATCGGCGATACGGCTCGATGTGGAGCCAGATTCTCTCCACGCCGACGGCGGCGATGCATCGCCGCATCGCCGACGTCGCCGATGCATCCGCGGTGCTCCGTCGATGCGGCGCGATCCTCTGACCCCATCTGCTCGGCCCCCCCTGGAGAAGGCCTCGAGTAACCACCGCCTGGGCGATCGATCTTCGGGGACATCGGCAGGCGGCGGATCTGGATAGATTCGACCCCCCAGGGGCCACACTGTGTCCATCCACCGCCCCCTGGGTGCCCCAGGGAATCGGCTCTACGGGCGGTGGCTGTGGATAAGTTCTCGCCTCGCACACAGGCGCCAGCGGGGCCGGACCTGCGCGCGGAGGTGTCGCGGCAGGTGGGCTCGGGGGCCAGACTTCCCTGACCTTCCAGGAGGGCTAAAAAATAGCACGCGACTTTAAAACCTATCCCAGAGCTATTCCATGTCTTGGTTTCAGGCTGTTTCGTTTAGTTGTTTTAGGTTTTTAGGCCTCCCGTGCTAAAAAATAGTTCTCTGGAAGGTCAGGGTTCTTGGAGCGGCTTGGAGGAAGGGAAGGGTGCCGAAGCCACTACTCGTCCCTCGTCGCCACGGCCGGATTCGCCTCGGAGTCCTGGTCGGAACGTACCCCGGGAGAGGTCCGAGGAGTGGCGGTGTCGGTGCCTTTGGTGCCTTCTTGTTTCCCTGTCTTCGGAGCCTCCGTGGGGCAAGTCTGCCGGGGCCGGGCGGAGACATGCAAGGGTTGCATGGCTGGACGCTTCGGATGGCCCGCGGAACCCTCCCGCGTCCGCCCGGAATCTTGCGCGGGCATCCCCAGTTCTGCGCGCGTGTGTGTGTGTGGTGTGTGTACGTCTGTGTGTGTGTGTGAGAGTGTGTGTGTGTGTGCGTGTGTGTGTGTGTGTGTACGTGTGTGTGTGTGCGTGAATGTGTGTGTGTGTGTGCGTGTGCGTGCGTGTATGTGTGTGTGTGTGTGTGTGCGTGTGTGTGTGTGTGCGTGTGCGTGTGTGTGTGTGTGTGAGAGTGTGTGTGTGTGTGTGTGAGGTGTGGATGATGCGTGTGTGTGTGTACGGTGTGTGTGTGTGTGCGGAATGGGTGGAGATGTGCGTGTGCGGTGCTCCGTGTGTGTGGTGTGTGAGGAGCTTGTGGTGTGTGTGTGCGTGTGTGTGTGTACGTGGGTGTGTAGTGCGCGGTAATGTGTGTTGTGTGTGGTGCTTTTTTTCTGTGCGTGGTGTGTGAGTGTGTGGTGTGGAGTGTGGTGTGCGTGTGTGGGTGCGTGTGTACGGGTGTGTGTGCGTGAATGGGTGTGTGTGTGTTTGGCGTGTGCGTGGTGTGCGTGTCCGAAGTGTGTGTGTGGCGTGTGTGTAAGTGTGTGTGTGTGTGTGTGTGCGTAATGTGTGTGTGTGTGCGTGTGCGCGTGCGTGTGTGTGTGTGTGAGGTAGTCGAGTGTGTGTGTGCGTGTGTGTACGTGTGTGTGTGCTTGAATGTGTGTGCGTGTGAGTGTGTTGCCCGTGTGTGTGAGAGCGTGTGTGTGTGTGTGAGAGTGTGTGTGTCAGGGCGTTGCGTGTGTGTGTGTGTGCGTGAATGGGTGTGGGTGCGTGAGCGTGTGGTGTGAGACGTGTGCGGGTGTGTGGGTGGTGGGTGTGTGTACGTGTGTGTGTGTGTGTGCTTGAAGTGGTGGTGTGTGCGTGCGTGTGTGGTTGGGTGAGAGTGTGTGTGTGTGCGGTGGGTGCGGACGGTGTTGTGTGTGTGTGTGCGTGAATATGTGTGTGCGTGTGTGTGTACGTGTGCGTGTGTGTGTGAGAGAGAGTGTGTGTGTGTGTGTGCGTTTGTGTGTACGTGTGCGTGTGTGCGTGAATGTGTGTGTGCGTGTGCGTGCGTGTGTGTGAGAGAGTGTGTGTGTGCGTGAATGTGTACGTCTGTGTGGGTGTGTGCGTGAATGTGTGTGTGCGTGTGCGTTTGTGTGTGTTTGTGTGTGTAAGAGAGTGTGTGCGTGTGAGAGAGAGTGTGTGCGTATGTGTGCGTGTAGGTGTGTGTGTGTGAGAGAGTGTGTGTGTGTGTGTACGTGTCTGTGTGTGTGTGCGTGAATGTGTGTGTGCGTGTGTGCGTGAACGTGTGTATGAGAGTGTGTGTGCGTGTGTGCGTGAACCGTGTGTGTGTGTGGGCGTGTGTGTGGTGTGTGTTGGGTGTGTCCTGCGTGTGCGTGTGTTTGTGTGTGTGTGTGTGAGAGTGTGTGGTGTGGTGTGCTGTGTGTGTAACGTGGTGTGTGCGTGAATGGTGTGTGGTGGGCGTGTGTGTGTGTTGTGTGGGTGTGTGTGTGTGTTCGTGTGCGTCTGTGTGTGTGTGAGAGTGTGTGTGTGTGCGCGTGTGTGTACTGTGTGTGTGCGTGAAATGGTGTGTGGTGTGTTGTGCGTCTGTGTGTGTTGCGTGGCGTGTGTGTGTGTGTGTGTTAAAGAGTTGTGGTGTTGTGTGTGTGCTGTGTGTACGTGTGGTGTGTGTGCTGAATGTGTTGTGTGTGCGTTACATGTTGTGTGGTGTGTGGGTGCGTGACGTGTGTGTGTGTGCGTGTGTGTGTGAGAGAGAGAGTGTGTGTGTGTGCGTGTGTGTGTACGTGTTGCGTGAATGTGGTGTTGTGTGCGTGTGTGTGTGTGCATGTGCGTGTGCGTGTGTGTGTGTGTGTGCTTGCGTGTGTGTGTGTCTTGTGCGTGTGTGTGTGTGCGTGTGTGTGTGTGTGTGCATGTGCGTGTGCGTGTGTGTGTGTGTGTGTGTGCTTGCGTGTGTGTGTGTGTGCGTGTGTGTGTGTGCGTGTGTGTGCGTGTGTGTGTCCGTGGCCTGGCTCGCGCCACGAGCGGGCCCCCTCCTCGGGGTCTCCCGCACTCGAGAGGGGGCGGCCGACGCACGCAGGCCCCGTCCGAGCACGCGGCCGACGCGCGGCCGCCCCCCCCGCTGCTGCCCGCGCCGCCTGCCGGGCCCGGCGCCCCGCCCAGCGCGGGGTCCCGACGGACCAGGAGGGCTGGCACATGGCTTCGGGGGCGGAAAAGAGGGGGGGGATGACTAGGGGGGGGGGGTGATTTCATGGGGCGCGGGCCTTACTTTTCCTCATACTTCATGCCTTCTTAGTACATCACGTCCTAGGCCCCCCCGCCTGGGCCGCGCACATCCGCTGGTCTGATTTGCCCCCCCCCCCCCCTCTTGGACACCCCCCTCATGGCCGCTCCCGATGGTTGGGACCTCCCCCTTCGGGAGAGGTGGAGGGTCTATGGGGGGCGCCCAAAGGCCGGGGACCTAGACCCCCTCGCGCTGCGAAAAAGTCACGACGGGAGGTTGTTCGCCATTTTCGACCTCCCGGGGGCCCTCGCCGGGCCTCGGGACCGTGAAAGAACGACTGAGGATGAAAAACCGGTCCCGGGGAAGGGGTCCAGACCTCTGGAGGTTCCGACCTGGGATGCCAGTCCTGTCCTGGAGATGCACACAGCCTGGGGGGCCAACACCCCGCCCCGCGCGGGGGGGCCCCCGAACGGAGACCAGGGGCTGCGAACACTCCTGGACCTCGGGCCCTCAGGGCGACCCCGGGGACCTCCCAAGGGCCGAACACCTTGG